AGGATTTTTAAGCACTCATCCAAAGACATCAGAAAGATGCAGAGGTGGGGACACATCACAGTTAAAGACCAAGACTCTCTTTCTCAGACAAAACACCACAACTTCCAACCAACCATCAGTACCTCACCTCCTCAGCCTTCCACACTTGTGTGCTACCTCTGTGCATCAGTGGGGGACAGCACCATTTCCTACTACCTAAAAAACCCATTTTATTTATTCTATAACACATTTGTTGATTTATTCCCTCCTTTCCCCCAAGACAGAGAGAGAAAAAACCAAGCCACCCAACCAGCTCCACAGCAGTTTCTGATACACCTTGAATGGTGTGAGGTGGGAGGACAAACGTTTATTTTGACAGATGCCATAAGAAGGAAAACCCCGAACAGTCCTCCAGGAAAAAAAAGCTCCCACTGAAGCAAGTATGTGGAAAGTACTTCAGCCAGAGACTGGGAATCTGCTGAGACCCCCCCTGCAGTGCTGCCTCCAGCTCTGGGGGCCCAGCACAGCAAGGACATGGAGCTGTTGGAGCGAGTCCAGAGGAGGGACACCAAGGTGATCAGAGGGATGGAGCAGCTCTGCTGTGAGGAAAGGCTGAAAGAGTTGGGATTGTTCAGCCTGGAGAAGAGAAGCTTTGGGGTGACCTAATGGTGGCCTTCCAGGACCTGAAGGAAACCCAGAAGGAAGATGGGGAGAGACTGTTTCCAAGGGCTTGGAGTGACAGGACAAGGGGCAATGGCTTAAAACTGACAGAGAAGAGGTTTAGATTGGATATTAGGAAGACATTTTTGCCTGTGAGGGTGGTGAGGCCCTGGCACAGGTTGCCCAGAGAAGCTGTGGCTGCCCCATCCCTGGAAGTGTCCAAGGCCAGGTTGGATGGGGCTCTGAGCAACCTGGAATAGCGGAAGGTGTCCCTGCCCATGGCAGGGGATTGGAATAAGATGGTCTTTAAGGTCCCTTCCAAACCAAACCATTCTGTGATTCTCTGAATGTCAAAGAAATGCTGATTTTTCTGTAAGGGCATTAAAAAGATTGGGGAAGTGGGTGTCTGCATTCATGTTTTGTATGTGCTTTAGTAATAGGGACTGACAGCACACAAATCTCTTTGCTGGAAACTCACTTCACATATCCAGAAATTCCAGTAAGTGTTGTTTGCCATGTTAAGGAGTGTCTCCCTGGTTGCCAAATCACATCCAACACTCGTACAACTTACAGAGCTGCTTGGATTGGATTTTGATCAGCATTAAGAACTTCAGATTAACCTTAGTGTCTATGATGGTGCATATGGACTACACTTACTCAAACGTTTCTTTAATGATATCCAAATCCTTTGTTATGAGATTAGCAAGTAATTATCCTAGTATCTTCATCTACAGTGAGCCCACCTCACACACTTGCATAGCTTGGGGATCACCAGGCTTTGTGCTCCAAATGGCAGGAGGAAAAAAAAATAGACCTAAGAGGGTTAGGAAGCCAACTGGCTCATTCATAGGCACCAGAACAACAACCCCTTCCCCCAACAGTGCTCAAAGATACAAACCCTCCATTACACACATAAGGTATGCACAATTCTACATGTATCTATATTCCTTCTCAAGTACAGTGGCACACACACATTCTGCTCCTGTGGGTGCTTGTTACTACCAAATTGCAAAGCATTAGTGGACTTCCCTCCCACCTCCCTATCTTTGACAAAAATACTCATCTGACTCATTCTTTAAGAAGTGCTCTCTTCCACCTCAATCTGGTGTATTTTTGATAGAGCACGTAGCTCAGCCTTCCTATTTTTTAATTTGGTGGGCTCATTTCCATGGGGATGACTGGAAGGTCATTGAAAAGCACAATCTTACCCCTCCCTTCTACTACCCCTATTTGAGTCTACTCTGCTTCCCTCCACATTTTCTTTTCATCCTTTCTCTCGCTGCACTTGTGCTTGACTAGTAGCCCATGTTTACCTCTACAACATTCTCCTGAATCATGCAAAATGTGAGAGCTAATATTAACACAATTTATGACAAGGGAATTGGAGAACAGAGAAAACCATGTCACACTCTCCATCTCACCACCCACTCCATCTCAGGTCCTTCTGTGGCCTCAGCTAAAGCAGTAACTGAGCACTTCAGTGCCTATCACTTAGAAGATTTATCCTTACGAGACTCCATGTAGAAATGCATTCATACATCTGTTTAAGTTAGCAATGAACCATTAAGCATGAGCCAAAAAGAACTCTGATGCTTACAGAGAGACTAAAAAAAAATGCCTAAACCGCAAAAGATGGTTCTGAAATGCCACCACATCAACTGAATCACAGGCTCTTTTATAGATGTTTCAAACGTGTGCTCTACAGCCTCCCAGGTACTTAACAGGTCATCTGGGCCTGCTCAAAGTGACTGTCATTCTTTATTAGGCTGAAAATTTGCATCAGACCTGTATCTAATCTCTAACAGGTTTTAGGAGCCAGGGATAAGATTTACCCTGGTTATCTCTAGCAATCTATGGGCTCACTAGAACATCTCAGCCAGTCATCTGAACTCCCATTACAGTCACCAGAGTCAAACCTGTTTCTGCAACATGATCCACTTATTGTCGGGGCAACACTTAAGGTTGTCACCCAGCAATTCCTTTTCCTCTCAACTGATTGTAAAGGTCACTTAAAGGGAGCCCAGTGAAGTGCTTATAGATGTCTATAAAAGACATTTTTTTTGCAGCAACCTGGTCTAGGGGAAGGTGTCCCTGCCTATGGCAGGAGGCTTGGAATGAGATGATCTTTAAGGTCCATTCCAACCCAGGCCATTCTATGATTCTAAGATTCTATTATTAGGTAATTATAAGAAATACATAGAGCAACCAGCTTGATGATATTACCACCAAAAGAGTCCTAGGCTATGTTATATAGGAGGGTATCATAACATAATCAGTTCTGTAAATAGAAAATACCAGAAAGATACTAAGCTATAACCACCACTATCTATATCTTGCATCATTAGACAGGCAGACTATCAAGTGATGAAGAACAAGAACTGTAACCATCTCCAGGAATTTGGCATCCTCATAGGACAGACACAGGATGGAGAATAAAGTGGGAGTCTACAACTAAAACTAATGGATTTAGGTGCAAAAAGAAAATGACACAAGTGTCATCAGAAATGCCCTAATGGCAAGGGCTGGAAATATCTCTTGAAAGGGGAAAGGTTAGAAGCAATACCGCATCAGCTACTAAAAAAGTCTGAAGAATGCCCTGGAAGGAATGATAATCTCATTATGTGGGTGGGAGATAGACTGGGACACACAGAGATCATATTGTCTGGGAGATAAGGTTCTCCAGAGTAATCAGGTCTTTCCAATCCCAAACTAATGAAATGCTGTAATTCTCTATGTTTCCCTAAAGAATATCTATATCAGCTGCTAAAAAGCAGCAGGTTTGAAGCCATAAGGCAGGACAGTCAATCCTCAGCCTCAACTGGACCAAGCAGAATTCCCCACACAGCACTTCCCATTTGCTAAAGAGCAACAGCAAACAGTAATTTAAAAGCCCAAACCTGAAGTAAAAAGCTGCAGACAGTTCTTCACAAACTCTGTGGTTCTCCTGGAGGCAGGTACTTGTGTTTATCCAATATAAAAAGCAGTCTACATACTCATCTTTTCTTAAAAGGAAGAAAAGAGGTAACTACTACAGGGATATAGGTCATGTTGTTACTTATAAAATGGTGATTCCTGTCAATATTTCCACTATATTCCCGAACTTTCATCAGTGACAATGACAGACTGAGTGGCACAAGTTTCAGGTTTCTGTTCTGCAGAGCTGTACAGGGCAATTCTGAGGAAACTCAAGACTTAAATACCCAAACAGTCACCTTCAGCAGAAGCTTACTCCAGGTCAGATCCTGTCTCAATGCACTGAGAAGGAACCCAGTGGGTTATTTTCACTCCTAATCACAGACTGGCTGAAGTTAACAGGGACCTCTGGAGGTCATCTGGTCCAATTCCCCTGCTCAAGTAGGACCAGCTACAGCTGGCTGCCCCAGATCATGTCCAAGGATGAAAACTCCAAAACCTCCCTGGGCAACCTGTGGCAGTGCTCAGTCGCCCTCACATCAAAAAAAACCCCAAAAAGCACACCAGTTTTCCTGATGTTCAGGGAAAACTTTGTGTTCCAGTTTGTGCCCGCTGTCTCTGGTTCTCTCATGGGGCACCACTGAAAACAACTGGCTCCATCTACTTTACCCCTCCTATGGCATCAGTAAGAACCCCCGAGACCTCTCAAGATTTACAGCACTCTCAGCTTTTCCTCACAGGAGAGATGCTCCAATCCCTTCATCAGACTCTCTCCAGCACATCCACGTCTTTCTCGTACTGGGCCCCCAGAACTGGAGACGATATTACAGGTGTGGCCTCACCTGTGCTAAACAGAGGGAAAGGATCCCCTTCCTTGACCTGCCGACAATGATCCTCCAAATACAGCTCAGGATATTTCAGCCTTCTTTGCCACTGTTGGCTCACGTTCACCCTGGTGTCTGGCAGGTCCTTTTCTGCCAAGTTGCTTTCCAGCCAGTCAGTCCCCAGTAAATACTGGTGCATGGGGTTGTTCCTTCCCAGATCTGCAGGACTTGGCACTTCTCCTTACTGGAGGAACTCCATGAGGTTCCAGTCAGCCTGCCCAGGTCCCCCTGGATGGGAACACAACCCCCAAGCACATCAGCCTCCACTCACAGTTTTGTGTCTGCTGTGGGAATACTCTGCCCCATCATGCAGATCATTAATGAAGATGTTGGACAGGACTGGACCCAGTTACTGCCAGTTACTGGCCTCCAAATTAGACACTTCATGCCACTGACCACCCCCTTCAGCCTGTTCTCAGTCTACTCATCCAACCCACCCTCCATCAGCTTCACTGTGAGGGAAGCAGCTTTAAAAGCCTTACTCAAGCCTAGGTAGACAACGTCCACTGCTTTCCCCTCATCTGCCAACCCAGTTATTTCACCACAGAAGGTTGTAAGGGTTGGCCAAGCACAGCATCTCTTTCATTAATCCATGCAGCCTACTCTGGATCACCTCCCTGTGCCTGGAAATAGCTTCCAGGATGAGTTTTTCCATCACTTCTCCACACATCAAGGTAAGCATGACCAGTCTGCAGCTTCCTGGCTTCCTTCTTCTTGCCTGCTAATGTAAGGGAGTGGGAAGAGTGTGATGATACCCTTTTTAAGAGAAGAAAGCTGACAAGTGTCTGGCATCTCCCCTGTGTTCCAAAGAGGGGAACACTAGATCCAGCCATACAGAGAGCCCCCAACAACATTACATTGGTAATTTGAGGACTTCATTGCCTTGCAAATGATGTTCTTCAGTTTGAACTTCCCCAAAAGTGACTACTTTTCCCTCCACAGGAATAAAAATGTATGACATAAAGGCATATAGCAAGAAAACAATAATTTTATTCTCAGGAAAACAAGGAACTCCACATGCTGATAAGGACATGGTGTGGTAGGCCAACATGGAAACAAAAAAGCATATAGAAAATTAAATAATTAAGAAAAGGCATCTTAGATTTAAGAGCTATTCCTTTTTAGAAAGCAGATGGTCTGGAATTGGAAATAAAATCAGACTTCTCCCTGACTGCCCCATCCCCCATTACTTGATTAATTTTTCTCAAAGCATTTGGATGTAACTGAACTCCAGTATTTGAATCAGCTACAAAATAAACACGTCTTCTTGTCCTTAGGCTGAGCTACTGCATCTTGTAATAATATTCCAGTTGAAGTCTATTCAGTGTAAGGATTATTAATATTTTCTTTTATTAACATTCCTTTGGCTGAACTGTTTGGGGTCAGCTAAAAATGTTTTTTTTCAGTAAGAAGATATTCTGGATGAAAAAAGGTGTTCTATCAGTTGAGGAGGCAAACCCAGTGAAAACAAAGAAAAATAAATGATGAATAGTTGGATATTTTGATTGCTGTTACCAAAAAAGAATTACAGTATCTGGCACTTTTTTGTGTTTGGTCGTTGGGGTTCTTTTTTGGGGGGGTTGGTTTTTGTTTGTTTGTTGGTGAGGTTTTTTTACTTACAAGTCCAGACCAAAAATATGTTTTAAATATTTTTCTCAGATACCTGAATTAGCAGATTCTCTCAGTTTAAATAGATCCATTTCTTCAAGTCCACTTGGAAATGTGCACCCAATCAGTTGCTGCCAGGAAATTATTCATTACTTGCAAGATGAAGCTACAACCAATGGCACAGCTATTTCTGCAGCATTATTGATTACCAACAAAGATGACAGCTTCATGCATCAGAGCATGGAGAGTGAAGTGCTGCCCTGTTTTCTGTTTGCACCAGAAGAACCACTCAGCATTATCTAAGTGGGATTATTACCTGACTGGCAGCAAGAAAGCTTGATGAATCATTTTTCATTCCAAAAGTCATTAAAATGTGAAAGGGCACTACATTAGGTCCTTCCAAACAAATCAGTGGAAAACCTTACTTCTTCATGGAAGAACCTCCATCAGTATCAAATTTTATCTTCTACACAGCACACTGCAAATCCAGCCTGCGTGCCAGAACAATTTCTACCCTCACTGGTAAGCAGCTAAAGCTTCTGTCAACTCCTTAGGAGAAAAGTTGCTCTCAAAACCACAGCTGGGACTTGCATAAAAGTTCAATTACCTCTGAGGGGCTAAAACTACTCCTGGGATTCAGGAGGTTCCCACTAACTTAAGCACAGAAAAGCAGCGCTGCCATCAATAGAAAAGAAAGCCCCTTCCCACTTAGATCCCTGCACAGAAAGTATGCAGCAAACCCAAAATTGCTTCTGTGATGCATTCACACTAACTGCAAACCCAGCCTTTCCAAGAAAGCCCTGATTAAGTGCTGGAGACAAGCCAGATAGAAAATGAAGCATTTCTATGAAAATGATAGTCACTGATTCACTTCTATTGGCTGCAAAGTTGTTCGTTTAAAGATATTTCATTCCCACCACACATTTAAAGTAAGCAGGTACACAGAAAGCTTTAGGACTTCTTTACCCTTTCTCCTTCTCCCTACTTCCTCCCCACCTCCCTCAGTTCTTAAGCTTCTCTCAGCAACTTGCGAATGGTACATCCTTCTACTGCTGTGCACATCCACCAATTCCCTTTTTCCAGCAGAACTGTGGACGAGCATGAGCTGGGCATGGAATCACAGAATGGTTTGGTTTAGAAGGGACCTTAAAGATCATCATGTTGGGGTGGGCAGGAACACCTTCCACTATCCCAGGTTGCTCAGAGCCCCACCCAACCTGGCCTTGGACACTTCCAGGGATGGGGCAGCCACAGCTTCTCTGGACAACCTGTGCCAGGGCCTCCCCACCCTCACAAGGAAGAATTTCTCCCTAATATCCAATCTGAACCTCCTCTCTGTCAGTTTGAAGCCACTCCCCTTTTCCTGTCACTCCAGGCCCTTGGAAAAGGTCTCTTTCCATCTTCCTTGTGGGCTCTCTTCAGGTACTGGAAGGGCCCAACTGGGTCACCCTGAAATCTTCTCTTCTCCAGGCTGAACAACCCCAATTCTCTCAGTCTTTCCTCATAGCACAACTGCTCCATCCCTCTAATCAACTTGGTGTCCCTCCTCTGGTTCAGCACTGACAGCAGAGGGAAATGGTGACTTGGACAGCCTGGCCTCAGCATTTCAGAAGAAGTTGATTTTATTGCCTCTTGACTACATACTGCATCTGCTACATCAATAAATTTATCGTGGGGATTTCGTTTGCCTGCTTTTGACCAAAAAAAATGAAAGCATTTTCTTGGGAAAGAAAAACCACCAGGTACAGTCTCTAAAAATGGGCCATTTTCAGCCAATTCAACTTAATTCATAATTCATCTTAATTGATGAGACAAGGAGTCTGTATAAGCAAGTGCATATTAGTGAAAAAGTAAAACGACTACAATGAATCACTTAATACATCTTCATGTGAAGTGGGGAAAGTATTTCTCTGACAGTGACTACTTTCTGTGAGAGCAAGGCAAGCTGCCCTGCAGAATGGAGCAGAGCACATCCTGCAAGCTCCAACCCCACACCTCCCACAGCAGGGGCTGCAGCTGGAGCCTCCCAGCAGCTATTGCAGTGCAGTACTTTCAAGGCAAGATCTCAGTGACCTTCAGAATCACCAAATGGAATCACAGAATCATTAAGGTTGGAAAAGACCTCCAGAATCATCGAGTCCAACCTTTGACCGAACACCACCTTGTCAACCAAACCAGAGCACTGAGTGCCACGTCCACACATTTCTTGAACACCTCCAGGGATGGGGACTCCACCACCTCCCTGGGCAGCCCCTTCCAATGCCTGACCACCCTTTCAGTAAGAAATTCTTCCTCATGTCCAACCTGAACCTCCCCTGGCACAGCTTGAGGCCATTTCCTCTTGTCCTGTCCCTTGTTCCCTGGGAGCAGAGCCTGACCCCCACCTGGCTACAGCCTCCTGTCAGGGAGTTGTAGAGAGTGAGAAGGTCCCCCCTGAGCCTCCTTTTCTCCAGGCTGAACAACACCAGCTCCTTCAGCTGCTCCTCCTATTATTTACTCTGTAGACCCTTCCCCAGCTCCACTGCCCTTCTCTGGACACCCTCCAGCACCTCAGTGTCTTTCTTGTAGTGAGGGGCCCAGAACTGGACACAGGATTTGAGGTGTGGCCTCACCAGTGCCCAGCACAAGGGGACAATCCCTGTCCTGGTCCTGCTGCCACACTATTGCTGGTCCAAGCCAGGTTCCATTGGCCTCTTGCCCCCCTGGGCACATGCTGGCTGTTCAGCCACTGGCAACCAGCACCCCCAGGAGAATGTTATGGGAGACCCATGTGAGGCTTTGCTGTCACTTAAAGGAACACTCTTCACTTTTTGCCCTGCCTACACCTTTGGGTACCCGTTCCTCTCCCACTCCCCCATTTTCCACCACTGCCACTAATGTTCTGTGTAGCAACTGGATCTAAAGAATTATGAAGCTGGAAACCAGTTTTCAGCCAAGCTCAGGGAGCCAATCTGACTCACAGCACAACTTCAAGAACACCCAAGTAGATATGGGCCCGTTGGTAACATTAGCTGAGCGCAGGCAGAAGAACTGCTCCTTTTGGCAGCAGATCATAACTCAGTCAGGGTAAGCTGGCTGTGAAGCCACATTCTCAGCCAAATACTTCTTTTAACTCCTCTCCAACAGCTGGAGCCTCAAAGCAATGTACACTTAGCCAAGAGGTTGCAGATCTCCCTGGACTAAGGACCACGTCTTCATGTACCTTTATACTACCCCCAAAACAAAAAGGCACCCGAGTTCAAGTGACCTTCTTGAGCCATCTCAGCTTTCAAACATTAAATTATTATAATCACTATCCTAGACCCAGGCTGATCGTGCCTCATCAGAATTCAACTCTTTCTCCCGTGCAGAAAACTGGCATATGTTTTAGGAGCATGTTTCACTCCTAAGCATACCCTGTCCCCAATAACCAAGATCTTGGTTCTTTTCCCTCTGAACCCTATTAGGGCTTTCTGCCATCTGCTAGTCTGTGACAGATGCTTGTGTAACTGACAGATCAAGCTAAATATAAGATATCAACACCCCCGTATGCTCTAAACATTCCAAGTTTAGTATTCCTATTGTACGTGAGGACTAAATATAGCAAGATAAAACAAAAACATCTTTATGTTGAAGTATTCTTAAGACTGATGACACCTCAGCACAAGGCCTCCAAAACTGAGCAGGGAAGGGTGGGGACAACATCTCCCGAGGGCGTTACTGGGAGATGAAAAGCCTAATTTCCAACGCTGTAGCAAACACTTCCCCCAAATGAGGATACTCTGTCCTGACCAGCAGCACGGTTGAACTTAGCTATGTTTACCACCATGGCTACAAAGCCAGTGTGCCATGGAAGCTCCCTGTTGGAGAACAGCACTGCAGACAAGACCAGCTCAGCCTGGGAGGGGACTGTCATATTTTCTAGGCCTGTAGGCCAGAAGCAGATGTTTCTCCTCTTGCTCAGCAGAGCAAAGCTGGCCTCTTTTCCAGGGCTCCAGGGACCCACAGGGGTAGAAAAACTATCCTGTTGTCCTTCCCCAAAGCCACAAGGCTCCTGTGTCCTCAGGGACAGGAAAATCAAGGAACAGAGACCCTCTACAGGCTGAAGAACACCCAGCAGCCACAGAAACTACTGTCTCTGCAGAGCTTTTCACCTTGAAGTAATTCACAGTGCCACTTACTGCGAACAAAACCAAGTTGCCTCTTCTGACTCTGCATTTCAGTTCCACTGAAGACAATGACTAAACTTTGGGTGATTTCAGCGAGCTTCAGAGTACAGCCCAAAGGGCTGAACACCCATCTCCAACCACAGAGAGCTGGCTAAAAAGCAGGATACTGTGCACCATTAACCAGAAAATCCTCCCTTCCCTACCAGTTTCTTAAACATAAAGCACAATCACATTGAATGAAACAGTGAGGACACTAAAGAGTTACATCTCATTTTATTACAGGTCTCCCCTTCTGCATGTTGATAGAAGTTAACAAGCATGAAAATATCCATATGAAAATACCCCATTTCTCTGAGCACTCCTGTGCTTAAAACAGACAAAGCTACCTGCTGCATACATTAAAATTCTACTCAGGACAGCCAGTCAGTAAACCAGGACAGCAAAAGACAAGCCTAGGTACCAGCATACCTTCAACACAAGTCAGACTGAGCCTAAGTGCCTCCTGCCAGAGCTTCAGGTGAGCTGTCAGTGCATATCTGGTGTGTGGTGGAAGCCTCAAGTGATCAGGTTAATTAAGTCCTGTTAGCGCCCTCAGGATTATGACACCAAGCACAGGAGGCAGCAACAAATTGTAAACAGAGACACAGAAAATGGGTAGGCAAAATTCCTGCACCGTGTTCAACACATCAAAACATTCCAAGGGCTGACAGACAAGGAATACAAAGCCTGGGCTGAAGTAGTTTGTACAACCCAAGCCTCTCTGCACCAGAAGAACGTGATGTACAGCACTGAAGTCCTCAGAGTTCACCTGCCCCTCCAACCCTGGCAGATCCCACAGTGTAATCTTTCCCCTGCAAATCATCTGCAGAGCTTGCTTTGTTCCTGGCATGCAGAGGATAGGCAAGGTGATTTCTGAGCTGCAAGATGCAGCTCCACGTCTCAGAACAACTTGTGATGTCTTGCTGTCTCCCATCCCTTTTCACTCACGTAGCACCTATTCCCAACACAAAAATGTTACCTGGAACTGAGTGAGTTTTGGCTGGGTTAATTGTCTTCACAGTAGCTGCTATGGTACTATGTTTTGAATTTGTGCTGGGAACAGAATTGATGACACAGGGGTGTTTTAGTTCTTGCTGAGCAGGCCTTGCACAGAGCCAAGGCCTCTTCTGCCTCCCACCCACCCTACCAGTGAGGGGCTGGGGGTGCACAGGGAGTTGGGACAGGACACAGCTGGGACAGATGATCCCAGCTGACCACAGGGATATCTCATACCATATCACACTGGCTGTCCTGTGCAGGGCCAGGAATCAAACTCTGGTGATCCCGGTGGATCCCTTCCAACTCAGGATATTCTACGATTCCATGATTCTATGATCTCACCGTGCTCAGCAACAAAAGCCTGGAGGAGGAGGAAGAGGAAGTGGGGATGTTTGGAGTGAATATGTTTGTTTTCCAAGTCACTGTAATGCCTGACAGAGCCGTGCTCTCCCAGAGATGGCTGAACACTTGCCTGCCCATGGGAAACAGTGAATGAATTCCTTGCTTTGCTTGCAGCCCACGAGTTTTCTCACTTTTACTCTCCAATTCTCTCCCCCACCCACTGTGGCTACCGAGGCTAAACCGTGGCAAGAGGTCATCTAGACCAACCTTCTACTTAGAGGAACTTCATTATCAATGCTAGATCAGGTACCTGCAGCTTCATCTAGCCTAATCTTGGGAATTTCAAAGGCTAGAATTTCCAATACCTCTCCAGATGACTCATTCCAGTGCTAAACTACCCACACAGTGACTTCTTTTTTTTTTTTTCCCTAATGTCCAATATGAACCTTCATAATCTCACTGGGGATTTTTCTCCATCTCAATATTATTTCTCTTTCAGGCAGCTCCCATCCTTATCCATCAAACTCCCACACTAACACACACCACCTTGCCCTTATATTTTCAAAGGTTTATATAGGACATACAGCTGGAAAGTTCCTGTTAAATATGACCTAATTTGGTTCCAAGTTTAGCACTACCAGGACATTTTCAGGGATGGGAATTTCACGGGTTTGTGACTGTGCAGCCGTGTGATTTTATGAAATAGCATCCAAGTGCAGCATTTTCAGCGAGGCACTGCAGAACAGGATGTTTACAGGGGATGACTATTTTCCAGTGTTTCCAGGGTCCCCAAATCTATCAAGGACCATTTGGCTGCCTCACACCAACACAAATTTGTGATTCTATTTCAGGCCTGCCTCCATCACAGAAGGCCCATGGAGCTGTCAGACACCTACAGCATTATTTTGAAAGCATCACAGAGAGACTGTGCAGAAAGGTTAGGAGATCTGAGCATCAAGTGGAATACCAGCCCTTCCAAACATGAAAGAAGCAAGCTGGGCAAGTCCTGCCTCTACGTTCTCAATGGAAGACAATAATCAAAGGAAAGCTGCAAACTGTGAGGATATGACTGCCCTTGGTCACACTGTGCAGCTACCTTTGAATCCAGAAGGACCACAAGAGAATCTACCTCTGAGATAATGCAGTGGTACCTACAGCATTGTTTTACTTCAGAGGAAAAAAAAGCCCCAGACCTCAAAATCCACGTTAGAAAGATTTGATTCTATATTCTGACATGAAGAACAAAATGAATGGGCATAAGGAGGCAGGAGATGCAGTGTAGGTGATTCTCAGCAAAGCACTTAAGAGAAGCAAAAAATTATGCTTGAAATATAATTTGGACATAATAAGTGGATTGAAATCCAAACATAATTGCAAAAATGAACAGTGGCAATGAGCCACATGGTATCAGAGAGCACTAACACCACCTTGGAGGTGATAAGAGCCTCTTAATTCCAACAGTATAAATACCTGGATTTCAAAGGATTCTTCACCGAGTACATCAAGGCTAAAGGAGATTCATGGATTTCAAAACAATTTGGCATATTTAGGCAATGAAAAACTGGGTAAACTCTGCTGTCTGATAAGGCCAAGCTGCCTGTATCCTTTGCAGGGTTTGTCTACACAGGGAAACGTGAGTGGGCAGAGAGATCCACTTAACCAGGGAGCTACGAAAGCAGTTTTACAGCCACATCAGAAATGAAGTGCCCAGAAGTCAATGAACTAATTTAAGACACAGCTTCTCTGCAGACATAAGTCCATGTCTACATAGTGCCTTAAATAGCACACAGTATGGATTCTCCAGCTGGGGCTGTGTAGACACGCTGCACAGATACCTCAAATTATTGCATTGATTTCTGGGATCATCTCCACTGAAAGCAGAGAAGGAATCTGGAACAATTCCATTCAAGTGTGACAAAAAGACCTCAAGGGCTCTATTTATGAAGAAGTTATTTCTGCCCTAATTTTACTCTCCTTTTTGCTTTCAGAGATCTGCCCAGTCTCTCTCACACAAAATGTTACATCAAGTCCTGGTAAAAAAGCTGAGGGAAGTGACAGACATCTGCCATGCACCTTGAAGAACCAAAGAGCAGAGTAGGGAATTAACTGTCACTACAGGAAAAAGTCACAGTAAAAAGACACTGGGGAAAAGAAAACACAGGATGTCACACTTTCCAATGATTAAACACTTTCTGAAGATGTTTGAATGCCAAGAGAGATTGCTGAGGATTTTTGCATCCCATGTAAAACCAGGACAACTGGGAACTGCAAGGTTCCATGCTCAAAGGACTGGATTTGTATCTTTTAGATGTATTAATCAAGAGTTACTTTTAAATGAATGGGCAAGCGGGAGTTCATGGAGCACTGAATTTCTTTAGGTCTAATCGCTAAGCTGATGGGATTTCCATTACAAGAAACTTATGGCTTCAAGCCATGTAAACCCCGAAAAAGATCAAAATATTAATCATTTAGTCTGACCAACAATTATCCATCAAAGCCTTTTTCAGCCAAAAGATGGATCAGAAGTTGAGTTAGCTTGTCCATAAAATGCTGATGTTCAGAGAGTCTCTAAAGCCTTTGGGATTTCTGACCCTCCAGTAAGTTCTATTTTCTCTACATGACAAGATCTGCTCCCTCCCCCACAGCAAGCAGAGCAAGATGTAGCTGAACTGGAACTGTGGGAGGTGGTACCCTCTGGAGAAGCTGTGCCTGTGTTTCAGCAGATCTACCCAATCCCCTTCATAATGACTTCAATAAATCAGGGAGCTCACTATAATGAATCTGCTAAATATGTGAACATTTTTTTTAGCTCCCTTTCACCCTCATTTTTGACTAGAAGTCAAAATAGTTTTTTGTTTGGGGATTTCTTTTTTCTTTTTGGGCAGCCAAAGGTTTTCTTCTGCCAACAAGAGAACTCTTGGGTTTGTTGCTGAAAATTTCTGGAGAAAAGAGAAAGCTTCTACTTCAAATCATGTTTTTGCTTGTTTCAAAAGATCTTTCCAGCTAGTTTTCTCTAGCTGGGATTTTTATATTGTTGAAAGTAAGTAAACTGAGGAAAGTGAAAGCTCCTCACTCTTCTACTTCAGTGGCTGGTTTGTGAAAACATCCATATTTCCAGAGTATTGATGGAATATCCTTTAGGCCAAAGTTTCATGTCTCTTCTATCTGATAAGCAGGGAAGTTCTGTGACACACCTGCTTTGTGTGACTCCTGACCCCTTCTTTATTTTCTCTTACTCCTACATTCATACCAGAACTTCTGCACCTGGACAAAAACACCTACCCCTCCTTCTGCTCCTCTGGAAACTAGTTTTCAGGTCAAAAAATTCCCTAAACCAAAAGAATCTAAGCATCCTTTTTTTTTTTCCTGATTCTGCAGAAACTGCTGGTCCCAGATTAGGATGAAACTCCCAGCCTATAATTTTGTCCATATTCTCTTTCATAGACAACGATTGATGAAAAATGAAGATATGAGTGATTTATGCCTGGATTTTAACGGTGGCAGCATCTGTTTCACACTGCCATCAACTCAGAGCGATGTTTCCACTATCTCCTCAGGCTATGATGAATATAATTTTCCAGTGTTTGCCTGAATCCCACACAGCAGTAATCAGCAATTATCAAAAGCAGCAAACACAAATAATTAAGATATTTCCATGACATCCAAGCACAGTCTCCTCTGGGATGTGTGCCTCACACTGCAGTGGGTAGAAATGTTGTCTGTACCACCCATGAGGGAAAGAGAACCTTTATCTCCATTTCTGGAACCCAACTCAAGCAACTTGGACAAAACAGGGGAGGTGAGGCATCCGAGTGATTTTACATTTTCAAAGGAAACCAGGGGCTTAAAAGTGACAACCTCTGTTCCATAATCAGCCTTGTAAACATGGGGCAGCACAACCAGTGGATGCAACAGCATCAATAACCTTTAGAACCTCATGTCATTGACATTTACTTTACTACTTGACACAATTACATATACTGTGGCAGATCAGCTGATCAGTCAGTGTCCTTCATCCCTTCACTACCAATTTCTCACAAATACAGTCCAATACCAAGAGATTTCAGTCTTCATTGTGCTGACATGTTGTTTATTAGTCACATGCTCCTGTTGTCTGCTCTAGTTTGGGCTCCTTGGTCATTCCTGTAATGCACTGCAGCCAGGAGTCCCCATAAAACTTTGACCCAGAGGATTTATTTTTGTTAGTGTGTAATATTTCCCACTGCTACAATTAGAAGGATACTAAATAAGCATGCTTATATATTCGAGTGTACTTATCTCAAACTTTAATGAATAATCAGTGTATACTGAATGGGTGGGAATGCTTACTGACAAACCTACACACCCATCATCTCCCCTCTTCTCTCTCCAGCTTATTTCTGCTGCTAGAATCACCAGAACCAATTTGCACCTGCTGTAAACTGGCATCGCTTAGTGTAAATGAATGGACCTACAGGAGTTCCCATTACCCAAGACCTTTTAGGTTCCCTATAAATCTAGCAGGTTTGATTTGACCACTGGTCTACTAGAAGTCCATTCCTGAGAACATCTCTTCCCAGAGAATTTGCATCTTTGCTCTTCTCTTATCAACATCTCTGCTTTAATCTTTACGTGTGTAAATCTGCACAGAACCAACTCAGTTCAAGGAAATTGAATCAGCATCGGATCAAACAGGTCTTGCCCATGCTAATAATTCCTTCAGGGACTAGAAACATGAAAAATTTTGCCTCCAGATTTTGCATTTGTTTCTTGCCTTGACCAAGGCCTTGACCCTGTATCAAAAGAAAGATATCAAAAAAATGTGTGCGTTTATATACATATATATATATGTTTACGTATATCTATATATCAAGGGTATTTCTCATAGCTATAATTACCTGTTTAACTTTTGAAAGAGACACTGAACCTCACCTTTTAGGTTTTAAAGCAATCTCTATGTACCAGGAGCCAGGATGAGACTGCACATGGGAATATATACAAGGTGACTTAGATGGCCCTACATGTATATTCTCTGGGCTTCCTGTGCACTGAGGACAGACACCTGGACTCCCAGTCATACCAGCCTGGGACTGATTCCATGGTCCAAATCTGCATAGATGTGCAGAGATGGGCTTCCAAAAATGCCTCTGTCTGAATTCACAGTTACTTGTGATCACACTGCCCCACTTGTGATCACACATCCCACAGAGATGATCAAAGGACCAGCAGCATCTGTCATATGCTCTGGGAGAGGCTGAGAGAGCTGGGACTGTTCAGCCTGGTGAGGGAAAGACTCAGGAGGACCTTATCAGTGTGTATAAAACCCTGATGGGGGAGGATGTAAAGAGGACAGTCAGACACTTCTCAGTGTCACCCAGTGACAGGACAAGAGACAAGGGCCACAAACTGAACCACAAGAAATTCCACCTGAACAAAAGAAAAACACTGTTTTTAAATGTGAAGGTGATCTGAGGAACACATTTCTCAGAAAGGTTTGAAGTCTCCATCTTTGGAGGTATCCAAAACACAACTGGACACAGTCCTTTGCAACTGACTCTAGGAGATCCTGCTCATAGCATGGAAGTTGGACTAGATGATCACCAGAGATTTCTTCCAAACTCGGCATTTCTGTGGTTCTGTACTACTGCTGAGCAAAAAAAAAATGGCTTTCAATGTCTGACCCAACACACATGAAAACAACACTGCTCCTCATCCCTGAGAACCACACCTGCTTGTTGTTGAAGGGTGCAAAATATCCCTTTGTGAGTCAGTATGTTAATTCCCCCTCTATCCTCAGACTTCAAACACAGATGACCGTGTCCTTGGATAGCCAAAGTGAGGAAGCAGAAACAAGTAAACCAGCTTTGTCTTCCCTACATTAAACTTCCCTTCCCTGCTTTTGGCCATGCTACTGAGCTGCATCACTCCAGAGCAATGATCCCTCTCCTCTAACTTGGACATGGTCATGACCCAAACCAGCTGCAAGCCACTTAAATCACAGAGGACGTATGTAAACAGGATCAGCTTGCAGCTGGAAAAAGCGTATTTTGCCCTCTGAGAAAGGGTAACTACCACAGGTTATGGAAATATTTGTAGAAAACATCAATTCTGAAACTGGAGACACGAGGAATGAGGAGGGAAACAGTGAGGAGGCAACAGGAAGGGAGGGCAAGGACTAAGATGTCCAACACAATTGCTCTTTATAGTGTAGCATTTCTTCACCTTCCTGAGCAGACAAAACTGTTGACCCCATGAGTCACACAGCAAAATATCCACATGGCCCAGAGCTGCAAGTCAAGGACCTTAGTCCTAGGAGAACTGCAAAGAAGAGGAGCGCTAGGAGTAGTTTCCATCCATCTCTCCTCTCCACTACAGAATGAGGATGGGGCACAGCATTCAGTTTTCCTGACTCGCTCATTTTGCCACGGGAAGGAGAGACAGATTCCACAGCCCTGCTGCCTGCCATGTGATGCAGCCCCATGACAAGATGCAGGCCCACACTCCCTGTCAGCTGCATGTGATTAAAGGGCCAACCAGTGGCCAAACTCTGCCTCAGCAGTGAGGGCAGCCCGATCACTTACCCCTCGTTGTGATTCTCCTCCATGGGCTGAAGTTCAGGTGACCGCACGGACGACAAGAAAACTCCCATGTGCCCTAGAGACCAGCACATCAGGAATTTTCTGTATCTCTATGGGCAAGGACTCTGAAGAGTCAGGTCATAAACTGTGAGTACCCAAGTTTTCTCAGAGCAAATTGTCATGTGTGTTGTACAGTGTATTTACAGATATGGCTTTTTTACGTAGCTATTTATGCTACAGACTGGGAAGGCTTGAACAATTACTTGGTAGGCTGTAACTTGGTCACATTATCAATAGATTACAGTGTCTCTGCACAATATTTATGAATAGAGAGACATTTACCAAATCCATCTCCTAGCAGACCCACAAAACAACTAGAATCTTATTACTTCTACTGAGCTATACTTCATGTTACTCTACAGAAACACCGAAAGAAAGAGTGCAGCAAAGAATAAACCACTCTTCTATTCACCCAATAAAAAGTATTACCTGGAAAAGTTCAAATAAATGAGAAATAGCATGACCTTTTTTTATCTCAGTTTCCCCATCAATCACAATCTCAGCTCCCACAGAGACGCTGCTCACACAGGTTGTAAATCAAATGAGTCAGAGAGCTTTTCTCCCATTTATCCATAAAACACCTGCCTCACTCCAGATGTTACTGAATAGTAATAATCAGAGAGGGCTTTATTTGAAACACTAATCACCAAGATTATATTAAAAAAATAAAAATCCTTGTTTTAACCCATGTTTTTAGTGTAGTCACACTCTGGGATCCAGGGCTTCATTTTACCTGGTGCTTCACACCAACAGTTCCTGTCTTAAACGGGTAGCAAAGCACACAAATTTCATCTGGACTAACTACAGAACACCACTCAAACAAGAACATCCACTGCTTTTCTGCATGTCATTGTTAATGTAATTCCTGCCCAGTAACATATTAAGAGGTGCTGAACTCAACAGGAATTTAGGGCACTTGGAAAGATCAGCTCGGAAACGCACAGGCATTCACAGACAAATGCCCTCAATTGCTCCCTGCTGCCATAAGCTGCTTTGTACTACGATTTCATGGCTGATTCGTGCTCATTCACTTCAAACTGGTAATCACACAGGGCCACTGGCTTCCCTGGAACTCAACCTATTTAAACCACTTGAGCATCTAAGTGGTTCTTAGCCTGCCTCCCTGCTACAGAGCTGGTGGCTTCATTCCCTCCCTTGACACCTCCTATAAGGGCTTGGAGTGACAGGACAAGGGGGAGTGGCTTCAAACTGACAGAGAGCAGGTTTAGGTTGGTTTTTAGGAAAAAATTTTTCCCTGTGAGGGTGGGGAGGCCCTGGCACAGGTTGCCCAGAGAAGCTGTGGCTGCCCCTGGATCCCTGGAAGTGTCCAAGGCCAGGTTGGATGGGGCTCTGAGCAACCTGGGCTAGTGGAAGGTGTCCCTGCCTATGTCAGGGGGTTGGAACTGGATGATCTTTAAGGTCCCTTCCAACCCAAACCATTCTATGATTCTATGGTTCTGTGATTCTCCCCCACCCTGAAACAAATCAAAAAATTCCTTGGGATGTATCTAATAACTTTCTGTGAGATGTAGAGGAATCAAGTCACACCCTACCAGCCACAATGCTCTGAAAAGATCCAGCTGGTTTGATTCCTTTATCATCATCACTGCTCAGCACCATTTCACCATGGACAGTAAGAAGTCCTGAAGCTGGGTGTAAGTTTCAGTACAGTTTAGACTGCATTTGAGAAGATTCACTTCCAAAGTGCATGTAGGTTATGTTTGTAGAAAAAAAATGCTGGTATTTATTTTTAACAATGTCCTGCACAAAGTAAGATACTCAAGCAGATTTAAAGTATTGCAGCAGACATCTGCTGTGAGAGAAGCAGTTACTTTCTTCTATTACACTTCCAGATAATATTAATCTATAGGATGTTTTAGGTTCTCTTGTAAAAGTAAATAAGGCCTGGAGCACATTAACTCCCACTACAGTAAATCATCTTTTTGATACTGCTACACTAGCTTTATCAGGGGAGTGTTAAAAAATTCTGGAAAAGAGCAGGAATTAACAAGTTATCTTCCTCTGTAGATGTCCTCACGAAAGCTGACATTTTCCATGTATCTTAGATAATATCAAATTAATTCTCCAGCTGTCACTCATGTTTTTCGTAAACTGTTCCAAGTGAAATTCAAATCTATGCACAGTGAAAGAGAAGAATTTAAGTTGTCACTAAAACAGCACCATGGTTTTGAGACCTATGGGCAAAATAAAGGATGTTCATGTATATATTTCATTGCCTCCAATTTTTAATTTTATTATCTTAAGCATACGTTCTCTGTGATCACAGAACACTGTCCAGAGTCACAATACACCAATAGAGAAAAATACATTTAGTGTCACTTTAACACATCTCTCCTTTAAAAGAAGGGGATTTTTTCCCTACTTATTGTATTACAGTGGTACTTGATGGGCAGGATTCTTCCCTATTGGCCAAATGAAAGTTCTTATTTATGTAAAACTTTCCCAGATGTGAATAGGAAAGAGAGACCCTCAGCTAGTTATTCAGAAGAAATGAGTAATGTTGACTTGCACCAGGGAGTTTTTAATTTTATACAGGAGCAATGAGCTGCATAAGATGCTGGCAGTGAGGTCTCAATTCCCATGTTCTTCACATTCCTTTTGGAACCCAAGTCATAGGAGTAAGAACTTCATGAGTATTTCCAAAGACAAACACAGAAATCAAAAGACCAACACTCCTCCACTCTGCTACCTGTCTCCCCATCACTAATATTCCAACCAAGATGTGGGATTGTGTGGACATATTAATCTGTTCTGAAGCAGGACTGAGTTGCTCTCCATGTTGGTGGATTTTAGCAGCCTTTTTAAAGTGTCATAAATGGATGAGATCACAGGCATTTGAAGATCAGGAAAAGTAAATCACAGTCCTGTCAGGCAGAATGCATGCTTTGAATATGCATTAGCAATAGTGGCTCCACACTATGCAGTGATACCCAGCTTCCATTTGCTACTTTTAATTAATAATTGAAGGTATTGACTACCATAGTTTCCGGCTGCTGTTTAGCATCCTCTAATACATAGATTGATACCCTATATTAACACAGCACATCCTGAACAGTCTCCAAACCCTTTACTTATTTAAGGAACTGACATACAAAGCTCCCTTCCCATTTTTGAGATGCAGCTACTCCCGAGACAAAACACTCTGCTCTTCAACAGCACACTGGAATGCTACCAAAGGATGAGAACAGCACATGCAATATTCACAGGGCAAACAGACACAGAGCCAAAGCAGACCAGAGCAGAACTCCAGTTCTGCCAAGACACCAGGAAGGCCTCAGTTTATAATGACACCAAGATCTTACTGCATTCCTTATCCCAAGTATTGACAAGATGCCCCTTACTGCCATGCAGGAGAGCAACTCGATAGTACCCCAGGAGGACTGAATCAGTGGCTTCACAGTCTCCACACCAAACACAGAGACTTGCTGGAGCATTCAGCAAAAAATTTCACACAACAGTGTTTCTGACAGAGTAGCCAAAACACATAAAACATGGCAGTGCTCTGGTTCATGACACTTTGTCTCAAACACAGGAGGATACACAAAAGCATAAAGGTGCCACATGTTAAAGAGCCCAAAGGCCAGAAGCCAATGTGGTTGGAAGTCCATGGGAAGAGGTTAGTCCATCATGATTTATTGCCCAAATTTGTTCAGGACAAACAAGTGTATATCAGATCAGTGTTTTCCTCACAGGCATAAAGATTTCTCATTTGCTATTTGGAGCCTTAAAGTTAATCCATTCTTTTGTTGAGCCGTTCCTCACTGGCGCAATGACCCAGGGTGACTTTGGGGTCTCATCTCCATGGGCAACACTCGGTTCCAGCTGCATCCCTACACTCCAATGACCACTTGTGGCTGTTCCTGCAGAATTGCAGAGCCACCATGCTGCAGAGACACTGCCCTTTAACACCACGTGGTCGCTGTTCACATCCAGCAGCAGCTCCTGCAACACTCATGTCTCACTCTCCTCAGGGTTTAAATATCAAGTATCACAAGAGTTTACATTAAAGCCCCATTAGCAGTGAATGCTCTTCCCCTGGAACGCCAGCCATTTTTATCATCTAAATAATCATAACAAAGGTATGCACCCCAAGTAACAGAGATCTTTTTTAATGGTAGGAGCTTTTTTATTCTTTCCCAAATAATTAATGCCAAGATACCTCAATTTAAGCCAAAAAAAAAAAATGCCCCCTCTTTGGGAGGAAACTACCCAAAGTACATTTTTGGAAATATTCATTTACACTTTTATCTTTTCTGATTCCTATAGAAAAAAGTTTGCAACTAAAAAAAACAGACTTAGTAACACTAATTGAAGCTGCCTGTATCAGGCTTGAGGGAAATAAGTGTATCCATGAGTATTTCAGGAACATTTGCAAGTGATTTATTTGCATCAAAAGTCATGGCAACAGTCAAAGTTCAGCAATCCAAGTTCATCACAATGTTTGGATAACTAGAAAAGGAACCAAAGGAAAGGTACCTCCCCTGTAAATTGAGACTGGCTTTTTTTTTCAGCTGAAGAGGAATAGTGCACACTGAAAAAAGAATGGAAGGCTCAAAGAGGAAAGGAAAACACATCCAAACACCTACCATCACCTGAGTGATTCCACTTGAAGGCAGGACCCTGTTGGCAGTGTCAGCTCTCACCATCAATCCAGAATGTGTAAGGAACAAAATGCCATAAGAATCTAGAAGATCCTTCATTCAGAATTTAGTGCAGAACTTTGCACGTAGATATGTGTTCAGAATGGCTAGGCAGCAATGAGCTAAACATTCAATAAATTAAATTTTTTTTTCCCAACCTGAAAAAATAGTTCAAATCTATGTTGTGTACTCAGTATTCATGGAAAAGTACTTGGACAATCTTTCCATGGCTTGTCTGGGAAGCTAGGGTTTTGGATGGCTGTTTTTTTCTTTTTCTTTCTTGCTCACCACTGAATTATTCATAACAAAGTTTAGCCTTATACTGAGCTATGGGCTTGATGTATTCCTTGCCAAACAGAAACAGCTCTACTGTAAAAGTAGGATGTGACTCCACGGATGTGGATGTGTGCACCACCCTGGAGTGTAACTGTGGGCTCAGCCACTCCTTTCCCCGTTGAACATGACTGTACCTACCAAGACGAGAAACATGAGATATTTCTTACATTAGGGACTGAAATGCCAAAGGAAACTCCCCACAGATGCAGGTACCTTGGAATTGTCAAGCCCTCTTATCATTTGTACACAGCAAAGATGTTTAAATCTCCTGCAGTGACTGTGGGCTGTATGGATGATGATGGCAGTCTGGGGGACTGGGGGACTCTAAAGCCACTTCCCACTGCACCTGGATTTCCCACAGCAGGGAAACTGGCCGGGGGTGAGCCTGCAGCATGGGAATGGGGACCCATAAAACACGTTTGCCCTTGACCTGTCCTCCTTCTGAGGATCAACCAGCCTTTTTTATGCAGCTCTCTCTCTCACAGTCAGTGCTCCCCTGCTCAAAAGCCAAATGTGCTACTGTTCCTACCTAGTGAGAGGAGGTCACCAAATATACCATTTACAATTACATTTTCATCTTCTAGCTGTAAAAGGTTTCTATTCAAGAGTCATAATTGTCTTCTCGTTGGAATAAAATGTGAGGTATTTTAGGAAGCTCTTAGAGAAGCCGAGTGGATTGAAGTATTGTTGTGCTAATTAAAGCTTCTTTGATTTTCCAACGCTGAATCTCAACACTCTATTAAGTGAGCATTTTTTATAGCAAGACCAACCATGGGATACAGTGCAACTCTAAAAGTACCTGTTAGAAGCCTCAAGTACAGAACGTTTCTCTTCTTCTTAGCAGACTGAAAAGGAGCATGAAATCATGGTCCCTCTACAACCTTCTGAGGGGAAAAGATACAATCCTATTCACTTCTGTGGGCTCTGGCTTACTCCAGGAGCACATATTTGCAGAGTTTGGCCGTGGCAGTTCATAGCAGCTGCTCTCAGGGACAGCACTGAATCAGATGGTCTGATTTTCTTTGGCAGTCAGACCATCTGACTTAAACTGTGAGCCCTGAAGGCACCTGCTGCAGATGCTTTAGAGGATGGATAAAACTTTAACAGTGGCTAAGAGTGTACCTTTGTGAAAGTTTATTTTTGCTAGCAGAGGTTAAGATTAATTTTGTGCTTTGGAGTATCAGGATTCTCACTCATTGAGGTAGAAATACTCGGTTTCTGCATGGCAAGGGAGAACATATTCACACCTGAGATTCCTAGGTTTCCATAAAGCAGTTATTTTGTATCCATTAATCAAACAGTATATGCAAGCTGGGTGACCTCCAAGACTAACTTTTAGGTAAATCAAATTTATTTTGAAATCATCTATAATCTATCAAGAAGGTAACATATAAAAATAGCACCTTGTTACTGACTAGACTGTATCTCTCTGTGTTGACAGTCTGCTGAATTATTGCTCCCCTTATAACCTGTGTCAGAGCAGCTGAAGAAGAAAGAGGAGCCTTTTCCAAGGATCATCTAAACTATATTTGCAGAGCCACAGTTTTTGCCTCAATGTAGGATGCTTCAGAGGAAGCCTACAAGATAAGGAAGTGGCCTGGTGTAACCAAAGGAAGGACTCAATATGCAACATTTTTGTAAATGACGAAATATAAAAGATAGCATGGGTGGATTTGCATTTTGGGGGAAAAACCCACATATTTGCTTCTGAGATTAAGTAAGGAATTAACTCAGACACCCAACTAACCCAATACACAATGCTGATTTACTTTTTTATAATGGAGTCATTATAGAGGGCAAAACCCCTGTCCTAGGACCTGGGCCTGAATGCACCAAGTTTTGCCTGAAAACCCCCACTTAGCAAAACTGACCACATCCCAAAAAGTAGTGACTGCACAGATTGTGGGAAAGATGAGGAATGACACAGGATGAGATGCCATCTTGGCAGCATCATGGCCAAAAGAACCTAGTGGGAGCACTTTCTACACTGAGGAGGCAGCACAGATAAAAACAGGCAAGGTCTTTCTTCCAAAAAAACTGATTGTGGTACAAGAACTGTATTTCCAGTCCTAAGGAAAAGGAGCTTTTAATCTAGATCCATGTGTGGTGAGACAGACCATGCAGGAACCCAGCAGTGAAGGCTCTAGGGTCAGTATTTCACAAGATGAAGTGTGGCCACAGTGGGAAGAAAATAGCAGAGAGATACAGAAATAGGTTATACAGCAAGTGAATTGGAGACTCGGGGAAACAGGTTATGCAGCAACATTAGAAGCTGATCTAAACAGTACAACAGGAGCTTGAACAAATGGGAGAAGATTCCTACATAGAGATGATTAACAGGCTTTTCTTCTACACAAGAAAGAGAAAAGGATGAAGCAATGAGACTTTAGACACACCTAGAGCCAACCAAACTCAATGACAGTGATCACACCCTTGAAGTGAGGCATGGACACAAGTACCTCATTGAATTAAGACCACCACCACAGAGCAGCTAACAGACAAATGTCCTGGACCAGACCCATTCAAGACTGACAACTACAAATCCCCGCTGACAGCTCAACACAACAATTTTTGACAACCTGTAAGTGATATTCAATCAGACCAACTAAATACTTGAAGCTACTGATGAATGAGGATTTCATTGACGGAAGGTTTTCTTGACCAAGAAAGCAAAACAAGTAAGTAAATTAAATCACATGACAGGCCACATAAAATGTTCTGCTTCGTGTAGAGGTCAGGGTATTTTCACTTCATTTCACCCATATGTGAATCAACATTCATTCCACTGTTACAAACTGCACCTACATACAGAAAGACCTGCCAGCCTCTGTAGATGGACTCCCAACACACAACAGCTTTGGCAGAAAATAATTAGCATTCATCTCATTGCCCTCTTTGTACATGACACAACACTGAGACACGGCACACGTGGCTGTATCAGACTGGTTTGCACAAAACACACCTTGAAAAACCAACTTTCAAAAGAAAACAAGACAAAGTCCATTTAACTTGCTGACATTCAACCCAACCCTAACCAAACCCCGTGATCAGTCTCACCGTTGTTTGAAACCTGATTTCATCTGCCACAGGCAGTGATTGATACCCACAAGCCTTTGGAGAACGCAGTGTTCACACAGTCAGGAGGTTTAATCTTATTTCTACTTTTTTTGGTGGAACTGAGTGATGTCTCAGCAGTGAAGGCAGCAGAGTTTGGCCCCAGAACATTACTCACTCGAGGCTAGATCCAAAGCCTATGGAAGCCAAACCTTTGGATTAATTGCACTGTAAAGCTTGAGTTGACATTTACAAGACTCTCAAAGCCCACAGCCCCATTTCCCACTCACTACATTGCCACTTCTTATACCATTCAATAAGAAAACCACCAATAAACCAACCATTCCTTTCAGATGGAACTGGCCAACAGTGACAGCAGAGAAACCAGACTCCAGAAAATAACCAGACAGAATAAACCTGGGTAAGATCCTTAAAAATTATCTTTAATTGATGCCAAGTATGAACAGATGAACGAGTACAGAAGCAGGTAAAACTGCATAGATGAAAACTATGCATTTCAAATAGTTCAAGAACTCATAACATCAGATGTTCTAAAAATGGTAAGTCAAACAATTTCACTACTGGAAGTAAAATGAGCTGTAATGTGACAATGAAGTACATACTTGACCAAAGTATAAGCGATTTGTAAATGGTGGAAATAAGTACAGCTGTGTCAGCTTAAATGGTTTGTTGCCCTGATGGTGCACTTTCATACGGAGACTATTCAGTTTATATATATCACATCGGCAATATTTGATCTTTAAAGTCAGAGGTATGTCTGAGAGGCCATTTACAGTTCCATTGACAGCTGTGATTTATTCATTTCAAACCGACATACTGCAAAAACAATGTTTTACATGGAAAGGAAAGGAAAAAAAAAAGATTTCATCTTAGCAGGTTATAGGTAAGGGTTTGCTGAATTTAGTCATAAAAATATCATTTTTACTTTTGTACAAAAGTAAAATATACATTTGATCCCAATTACATTTATAGAAATGTCACTGAAACAATAACATGGATCAAAGACTGATGCACCTAAAGGAACTGAATGCAGTGTCTTCATTTTATTATAGAAACTAGAAATGGAAGATGATTTTTTTTTTTGTAACTTATAGTGACATTTGCTAGAGCCTGTGAACAGGTAAAATATACAGAATTACACAGATATTAACAGAAACTTTGAGACAAATTTCAGTTAAGACCTCAGTTTCATTTTATTTCCTTTGAAAATATCAAAGCATGCTATGCCTTGACAGCATAAATTGTTGACCTCACCGGTGGCAAGTTCACCTGTACTGAGCGAAACAGTAGAACACCCTGAAGTTTCATGTTTTGCAGATACAAATACTGACACCTTTAAGAATACTTGGTAAGCATTTCAGGAAAAATAAATTCTCTACATCTGATTAAGTAAAGCCAGAACAATGGAAAACAGAAAAAAAAAAAAAAAAGAAAGCCTGAAATAAGTCCAATAAAAATTGTAGTGCAGGTCCCTGGTCAAAGCATCTCAAGGAAGGAGCCTGTTTCAGACTTGCAATGGGCAAGTCTGGAACAAACTTGCCATGTTGTGCAATTGCAAGCACAGCTTTCCAGTTCTGTCCAGCTCTGTGGCCACAGAGGGTAAATCACACCTTGGAGCTGGTTCCGCATCCATGTGGGTCTGAAATTACTGTGAATATCATTGGCATCAGGCTGCTGGAAGCCTATAGGATCAGACCATCCCTGGAAAAGCTGCAGTAACTCCCTCTTCTTCATGTTAGGGGAAAAGATTAATCCAGAATGGCACCCCTCCAGTAAGAGTTATCCAGCTAATATTTGGGAAGGAATATATTCTCTCCGTAGATTGCACATGTATGCAGAAGGTTTTGTTCTAAAATACAATTTTCCACCTTTTTCTAATTAATTTCAGATGTTCCTGTCCTACTGTTCATCGTGTTTTGTTTAATATTTGAGCATATAAGAAACTGCACCGTTCCAGTGTGAACTATGGAAAAGTGAAACACCCTCAGTTCCTCATGCTTAGAAATAAAGAGGTTACACTTGGGCTTCAGCTCTCTCCTAACAGAAACTAACTTTCTGTACTTCTGCCTATTTAAAACAATTGTCCTTTAGTAAAAAAAAAAAAAAAACAAAAACAAACAAACAAAAACCTGTCAATAAAAGTTGCCACTGCTCAATCAATTGTTGATCTGGACCAAAGCAACCTCTAACAAGTGATTTGCTAAGAAGGGTCTGATCCCTGAAATCTCCATTTGGGCAAAATCACTGCTGCAAACAAGAGGACATTTGCTGAATTTTGTCCTGTCTCTAGTGCTTCGTACTGTCTTTCAAGTGCTCGTCCACATGATCAACAGTAAATCAGGTTGAGCACGAGTGCAGTGAAGAGACTTTTTTAAGTGGAAATTAATTTCCTTGGGCCATGATCATTGTCAGCATTGACCCTCCTCACACCTACAAATGTGTAAACCAGGAACAAAGGAAGGAAATCACCAGAACCGTTGCCAGGATCAGCGTGTTATCCCCTCAGTAAGCCAGGCTGTGAATTTCCAGCACTCATGTACTAAAGAGTTTTGTTGCACGTGGGCACATTCTGCCCAGCCACCCCCTGCCAAGCAGGGTCAGTTCCAGTCCATCTAATGATTACCAAAGGCTTATCTGTCTGAATGAACTTGTGAGGCAGATGAGGTAAACTGCATTAAGCCCCATTGTGTTCAGAATTAAAGCAGCCTTAATTCAATTCAGGTTACTTCCCTTCAAAAAGAATGACTCCAAATCAGATTAAGGTTGCTTTAATACTGCAACAGAATGTCCATGCTGGGCTTTAAAGCAGTTTAACAAATCTACTTTGAATGCACACCTTTCATTGATTCGGATTAGCTTTCCTGAAGTCCCCAGTGGAGATAAGGCTTAGGAGACTCCATGCAGGGAATCTGCATGGGTTTGCTGGGATGCTGGGAACTCACACCCTGGCTTACTGCACGCTAACTTCCTCATAAGGGCAAATAAATCCAGTTCATTGTCTGTGCTGGAGCTGCCACACAGAGGGTTTGAGCTTTTGGCAGTCTGGCAGCAACCCCTCGGTTCTGTGAAGGAACGGGGTACAGAGTCTTTCATTTTCACTCTCCTCTGCCTGTTCCTTAGTGCTCTGGAGCAAAGTGTGGTAGGACCAGATGGGGAATTCTGGCAGTGATTCCAGCCTGCTGGATTCCTGCCTCTGCACTGCAGTGCACTGGAGCCTTGCTCCTGCCAGGTAAGTTCCCTCATCCCCTTCACCAAGTGGATGAAGGAAAAGCTCTTTGGAGGCAGCAAAGAAGCACAGAGAGGCAGGGAGCAGTGGCTGGGGAAGGAGGCTTGTGTGGTGATTCCTTATGATGGAGTAGCTGCTTTCCCTCACCAAACTACAGCCCAGCTAAGACTGCCATATCTACTGGTTTCTCTGTCCAGCTTAACATGGGCATCGCTTCTGGAAGGTCCCCACCAAAAGAATTCTCCCTACCAAGTGAATTCTCTTGACTCTTTCAGAGAAGCACTAATAAACTGGCCCTCAGCTCATTTCCAGTCCTCTTCCAACTACATAAACAATCCCATCGAGTCCATGTGTGGCAAAAAGAAATGTAAGGGCCAAAAGAGGAAGAAAAAAAGAGAGGAAAGAGGGGGGAAAAAAAAGAAAGAAAAAAAGAAAGAAAGATGCTTAGTGGTAAGAACAGGCAGTTTTTTAAGTGCACCTTCAAGCCCACAAAGACATTTCAGCACTCCTGTGTATAGGGAGTAAGAGCCTTTTTTTTGTTGGTGGTGGCATTTTTTTGTGTGTCAAACTTGTTGAAAATGCATGCCTATGCTACATGAGGTTAATTCCTGTACTCCATATGTATTGAGATCCTTTGCAGTGAGCTATAAATGGACAAAGCAACATTCAGGCTCCCCAAACCACCCTGGGCCCTGAAGACCTTTTGTCTCCTGACAAAGAAGAATTGCTGCATGCAGCACTTTTCTCTGCATATATGCAGAATGATTATCACTCTGCACATTAAATTAAGGTGTGCAATACCCAGCTGGGGTTAGAAGTTACCAAAGTGAGGCCTCATCTCCCAAATACATCTTTCTGATCATCAGTCCTGTAGCACTGAAATGATTATTGCTGTTTAGTTCAGTTGGTGGTTTTATAAGCTGAGTGCAGCATTCAAGTCCATTTTGACATCAGAAGTCACACCCTAGAATTCAAGAGTTTGGGAAGATCAGGACCACTAGAATTTAATGGGGAGAGAGGAGTGCAATGGGCAGGGGTGTGAGCAGGGGACAGGAAAGAAGCTTTACAACATCTACCTAGAGGATGTAATGCCCTGTTGTATCTGATGCTTTGCATTTCTTGCAGGAGTTAGAGCTCCCTCAGTTCTTAATCGCTTCCTCATCTCTAAGATTGACAGAAGTCACACAGTGAGAAATAAAGTCAAGTCTTTCTGGAAACCTGGCAGGTCAAGCTTGTGCGTAACTGCAGAGTTAGGATTGTTTTATAACTCTAAGTGCCTTGATTTTATATATACATGTCTGCATATGTATGTGACACACACAGGAGCAGACATACATATATATATATATTTATACACATATGTACATATATCAGAAAGACAGGGGAAGAAAGGATCTGTACAATGCGGAAGGAGAAGTGTTCAACAGCAGTTGGCCACATGCTAAGTGCAGAACGAAGATCCTCAACTTTGTCCATTTAAAAAACAAAGATTAGTGCCTACATTAGTTCAGATCAAAGGTTATTATCTTCCAGGGCCTAGCAATCAAGGCTGGCATATTGCAGAAGATACCTTCTCCTAGCATTGCTTCCTTCACCAGATGATGCTGGGAGTAAGAATAGGGACCAGAAAGAAGAATATGGCTCAAATGATCGGTGATGGGATTTAAGATCTGACAGTCTGCCAAAAGGGGATGGAGGAGGAGAGGAGACAGGGATGGGAGGGCACTGGAAAGGCTTTCCCACCCACCCACCTGGCAAATGTACGGGAAAGAAAAGCACAGTCCTCCAGTCTGGTTGCCTGACTGGGCGACACCGTAGCTCATGCTGGTCCCTAATTCCTCCTGCGTCCTGCCATGAAGGGACAGGCTACCAAAAAGCCATCTCAGGGAAAGGAAGGGCAGATACAATGATAGCTATAAACAACCAAGGGGAACCTGAAGCCTTGCACAAACACAACTATGAGTTACTTGGCAGAAGCAGATGCTGAGCCCTGTGGCATGAGATTGGCTGGGGAAGGAAGGTATCCCATGGGCACTGGTGGTCTCTGCCCACCTCTTCTGCGTCCCTCTCACTCACACTTGGTCCTTCTCTCTCTACCCCCTCCTGTGCTGTGCCAGGGGACAGCACAGAACACCTGTGACAGCGTGCCTATGCCTTGCCCTTTCCTTCAACATCTCGGATCAGCTCAGTTCCTGGAGGCACTTTCAGCAATTTAGGGGATGTAAGATAAAGGCACTGCGCAACTATCTAAATCAATCTGTTGAGTCTCTTCAGCGAGTTTTAGGGGAATACAAAAAAGTCTCAACTGATGACTGCAAAAGAAACCAGCTGCTGCAATTTGGATGCATATAATAGATAAGTTTCATTTACATTCTGAGAATGCACCAAAAAGCATGCATCTGCACCTTTCAGCTATAAAGGATACTAGGTTTTAGGTGTTGCTATATATAACTGGACTTCTTAATTTTCCATATAGCTTTCCCTTTAAGGGATGGGATATGTTCCTTTCCGACAACACCTGGACAAAAGCCAACACATTTCCCTGAGCAATGCAGGAAAACAATCAGGTTTCTCTAATCAGTTCATTCAGGCCCTCAGTCTATCAAGCACATTTTTTTTTATTTTTATTCTTATCATTATTGTTGTTATTATTATTATTATTATTATCATTGAATTCATGCATTAATTAGTTCAAGTTACATTTTAATCAAATAGGCCATAATGCTGAATATTCGAACATGCTTTGATCTCCAAAAGTTATTGTTCCCATTTGACTAACATACGCACTTAAATACAGTACTTTAAATTACTAGTCAACGATTTAATAAATTAAGGAGTGCACTTCTGGTGAATGCAAATCAAAAAGAAAAAAAGAAAAAAAAAGAAAAGAAAAAAGAGAGATAAAGGACCTATTTTTAGAAGATTCAGTTCAAACGAAAGCTTATCCGCTATTGTCTGAGGTAACGTTTCAAGCATGCGATTATAAAATAAATAGTATCAAATTCAAACATGCTTATATTAAACTCCATTGTGCTATCTTGCAACAGAGGGGCTTAAAGTTTTGTATCCAGTTCCAAACAGGGTGGGGGGAAAAAGAAAAGTGTGTTTTTATCATCTGCACGTAAGAGAACTTAGCAGCATTGCAGATGTTTTGTCTTCAGTTTCGCTTGTTATTTTCCTTTTAGAATAGTTCTCCTACTGACAGCAAAAGAGACCAAGCTAAAGTACGTTTTTAATAAGGTGCTGTGTGGATCTGTAGGTTGGAAGTATGGAATCCTTCACAGAGGGGGTGGAAGGAAAAATTTGCGCTCCTTCATAAAAGCCACGGCAAGTGTTTGCCAAGGGTTTTGGCTAATCTTTTTTTACTATTATTATCTGATGCACTTTCTTGCAACTGTGCAGTGTTTTGCAGAATATTTTTACTGGAATCCATGCATATGCTTTATAGCTCTAAAAACTGTCTTGCTTAGTTTTAAGTTAACTTTATCCAAAAAAAAAAAAAAAGGGCGATGGGAGAGGAAAAGTTTAGGTCTAACGTCATACGGCTTAAAACTAAACTAGTTCAAATGGTTATCAATAGCCAGGTGGAAAATGCTTTTTTGAAAATAAACAAAAATTTTATCTTTCATGGATCCTGGAAGCTTCTTTATCGCAGAGCAAAGATTCGCAATGCAACAATGCATTTACGAGGTAAATAAAGCATTCAAAGACTATCAGTAAAGCATCTACAAACTGTGACTGTGTCACTAAAGTCTTCAAGCTGTGAGTGGGGATTTTGGTTTTTGGTGGTTTTTTTTTTTTGTTTACACATCAGTCAGCAGCTTGCTTTTATTAACGCAGTTTTGGTTGGCTACAGTGCAGTTGCCAGTTCTGAGATTAGCCTCTCTAAAATTGTCTATGCTATTATTCATATCCTCTTCGATTTCCATGTACTCAGATTTGCTGATTGTGGAGGAGCTGCGGCGACTGAGATCACTGTCAGATGCTAAATTAGGGGAGCTAACGTGAAGTAACTGAGCCTGTTCTTCCCCTTCTGTTTCTCGGTGGTAGAAGTAGTTGAAGTTGGACACGATGACAGGTACAGGCAGGGCAATTGTCAGCACACCAGCGATGGCACACAAGGAGCCTACGATTTTGCCTCCAATTGTCACAGGGTACATGTCACCATAGCCCACAGTGGTCATGGATACCACCGCCCACCAGAAAGCATCAGGGATACTTGTGAAATGAGACTCAGGTTCTTCAGCCTCAGCAAAATATACAGCACTAGAGAACAGAATCACCCCAATGAAGAGGAAGAAGATTAGTAAACCTAGCTCTCTCATACTTGCTTTGAGGGTCTGTCCCAAAATCTGGAGGCCCTTAGAGTGCCGGGAGAGTTTGAAGATTCGAAAGACTCTTACCAGTCTGATGACTCTCAGGATGGCCAAGGAGGTGGCCTGCTCTCCTTTCTGAGTCCCCTCCCGCTCGGCCATCTCGGTGCCCAGGGTGATGAAGTAAGGGATGATGGCCACAATGTCAATGAAGTTCATTATGTTCTTGAAGAAATCAGTCTTGCTGGGGCAAGCAAAGAAGCGCACCACCAGCTCAAAGGAGAACCAGATGATGCACAGGGTCTCCACAACAAAGAAGGGATCTGTGAAGATGTTGGATTTGTAGACCTGGGTGGTGTTGTCAGTGCGATGCACTGTGTACTCCTTGTCCTCCTTAAGCTCAGGTAATGTCTCTAGGCAGAAGATCACGATGGAGATGAGGATCACCATGACAGAGACTATCGCAATAACCCTTGCCGGCCCAGAGCTCTCTGGGTACTCAAAGAGGAGCCACACTTGGCGCTGGTACTCCCCCTCCGGCAAGGGCCTCTCCTCATCTTTGATGAACCCTTCATCCTCCCGGAACTTCTCCATGGCCTCCTCACCCAGCTCATAGAATTTGATCTCCTCAGAGAACATGTCCAGGGGGACGTTGACCGGCCGGCGCAGCCGCCCCCCGGACTGGTAGTAGTAGAGGATGGCGTCAAAGCTGGGCCGGTTGCGGTCGAAGAAGTACTCGTTGCGCAAGGGGTCAAAGTACCGCATGCGCTTCTTGGGGTTGCCCAGCAGCGTGTTGGGGAACTGGGCTAAAGTCTTGAGCTGCGTCTCAAAGCGCAGTCCAGCAATGTTTATCACCACGCGCTCACAGCACTCGTGGTCGTCGTGGGCAGCGGGCTGGTAGCTATCCTGGGGGTGGCCAGGGAGCGCCGAAGTCTCGTCCATGTTTTCTCCGGCCATCACGGTCATGGTGACACACGGGGAAGGGGCCACGGGGCAGGGGAGGAGTGAGGGAAAGGGAGGAGGAGGAGGAGGATGGAGGAGAGCAGAGAGACCCAGGGCAGTTCAGGGATGAGGGGGGTCGGAGACTGCAGGGAGGGATGATGAGGTGGGATGGGGAGCTTGAGGAAGGGATGGGTGAGGAGCCTAAAGCATGGAAATACCCAAAAGGGGACAGGAGGGGTGGGATGAAGGGAGGGGCATTAGGGATGATGGGAGGGTGAAGAAAGAGGGAAGAAGTACCTTTGGGGGGGAAGAGGGCAGGTAAGGTGAGGGATCCTGTCCCGTCCCCCAGGCCGGGAGGCTGAAGGTCTATGGAGCGCACCCCAGGCCGGGGTCCCCTCCCCAGCCGTCTCCTTTAGCCTTTAACTCGTTCCGTCCACTTTTCTCGCCGGCTCGACCATCACCGCAGCTGCTGTCACGAAGCTACCGCACACACACACACTACACACACACACACACACACACACACGTACATACACATAAAATAAATAAATATATATATAAATAAATAAATCATGGGCCGGCTGGGAGGCAAGTCCTTGCAATGCCAACTCAGCAAATTTCCATCACCTGCCCCCCCCCCCCTTCCTTTCTCCTCCCCCTTCCACTGCCCTGGTCCTCTCCTCTTGCCGGGAAGGGAGGGAGGGATGGAAATGCTCTGCTTTTTGAGGGCATAAAGCTCACTTGCAGGATGGAGGCTACCAGGGAGGAAAGAAATAGAATAAACCAGCCCCCGAGCCCCACCACACACACACACGCTCAGGCGCAATGGATTGGATTTCACACGAGCAAGAACATCCCGCTCTGCCCACTACGGCAGCACATGCGGAGCCCTACGCGTTCCTACACATCCCCGGACATGCACCAGGGCCTCCGAGGCAGGAATGTGCCCTGAGCTCTTCGGGAGGGCTTCCCAAGCAACTTCAGCGGGGTCAGCTCCTGCAAGGAGTCTCCTGAGTACCGCGCTCCCCCTCTTCACAGGCTGTGGAGACTTAGCTGAGCTCTGACAACTTCATCACACCAATTAGGGGGATTAGGGCAAGGAGAGCAAAGCACCTCCTGTCTTACTTTGCAGGAGCTAAACACAACTCCGAGAGAGACGAGGGGAGGGAGATCGACATCCCAGACCCAAACCGTCCAAAATAGAGTGTAACAGCGCGGGGCGGGGGGCGAGAAGGGGCTTTTCCTTACCTGCTCCGAGTGAGATGCGCTGGTCAGGAGTAGGAGCCAGTGCCGGAATGCGTCAAGTCGCCTTGCAGCAGCATCCAAAAAAACCAAACCAAAACAAAAACCGCAGCGGCAAACTTCACCCTCCTCCTCCTCCTCTTGCGCCCCTCTTTATAACACAGCGATCGCTTTACAGGGCTGCCTGCGAGACACTGAAATATTCATACACTGTCTTAGGCTGCACCAAGGGCGAGTGGGTTTAATTAGTTTCTGCTGAGAACCGCAGTGGGGGGTGGGGGGGGGTAGTGTGTGGAAAAGAGTGCAAAGTACCTTTTCCAAAAGGCTTGAGTTAGTAAATAAAATCAAGGAGTCCTAGATAGCCGCTGGCTCTCCAGCTCTCTCCCCTTAGGACAGCTGGAAAAGGAGACGGGCGCTGGGCAGCGGCGGCTGGCGAGATGTCAGAGCGCCGCAGCCCTGCAGCCGCATCCCCGGAGTCGGTCTTGGCTCGTCCCAGCAGCAGAGGCAGCAGGAGGAGGCAGGAGCTGGGCGCGTGTGGCAGGAGCGAGAGGGCTGCTGAATGCATAAGAGGAGCGAGGAGCAAACTCGAGCCATTTCTTGACGCTGCAGTATCAGCAGAAACCTGAGAGCTGTTTGGTGCAGCTCGGGGAGCGGGAGGGCGGGGGAGCCGGGGGGCCGGGACAGGCGGGAGGAGGGAAGGAAAGAGGGAGGGATGCACGCTGCCCCCGGGCCGGCCGCCCCCGCACGCTGCGCGCCGCGCCCCCGACGCAATGCGGGCGGCCCCGGCCCCGGCCCGCTGCGGGATGGGCTGCGGGGAGCCGGCAGGATCCCGCGAAACGCGGAGGGGATGCACAAGCAGCCCGCACAGGTGCGCGGAGCAGCCGCCCCCCGGCGCGCAGAGGGGCCCTGCAGACCCCCCGCAGCCCGTCCGGGGCTGCCCGCGGGTTCCCCCGCAGCACCCGCGGCGGTGCAGGACTGAGCATCCCGCATGGAGCGGTGCTGTGGGGCTGAGCATCCCGCACGGAGCGGGGCTGCGGGGCTGAGCATCCCGCACGGAGCGGTGCTGCAGCCGCGGAGGGCGGCGACAGGGCCCGCAGTGCCCAGAGCTCTCCTGGTCCCGGACCCCGGTCCCGCAGCCCGGCCCGCCTCAGGAGTGAAGGGGCTGCACATCCCGAGCCTCCTGGACACACCGGCGGAGGGTAAATTCCGAGCGGAGCGGCTGGAATTGGGAGGGAAGAGTTAATCAGGCGGCAGCGTATTACAGGGAAATTGCCCTTTCATGCTGCTTTATCCCACTGAATTCATTTAATTGATGAATCACATAACTTCGAGATGTAGAAGACCCATTATGTCATCAGCTTCCCTCCGCTGCCACTGCAGGATCGTTCCCCACCGTGTATGATCGCTTACATTATATAAAAGCCTGCTGCTCACTTTGTCAGGGCGGGAGCGGTGATCAAATACAACCTGGGCCTGTGTAATTTGAAGCACTCCAGAGCTAAGTAACACCAAGTCCATGTTTAACAGACCTGGTCTCATTAGCTTTCCACTGCATAATACATTATCTTCACTTAAGATCACCACCTTGGCAGTCCAAAAATACTTAATCACCTGACCTCAAGGATGCTTCCTGTCTCTTCTTCCCTTCCCCTTACTTATCCCCGTGTTTTGTTGTTTTGGGATGAGAGGTTTTTTGACGATGTTTTGGGTTTGTGGTTGTTTTGGTTTTTTTTCTCCAGGGTAAAAACCATTCTAAAATCCTCTAGACATAACAGTACTGCAATCTCAGCTACTTTGCATGCTGCATTCACCAGCCCTGTGGAAACATAAGTGCAAAGAAACAAACAGATTTCCTGTCTGGCCTGACAGGTTTTTCTTGGGGTTTTTTGGTTGATTTTTTTTGGTGTGGGTTTTTGTTTGTTTGATTGTTTGTTTGGGGTTTTTGTTTTGGTTTTGTTGTTGTTGTTTTTTGGCTTTTTTAGTGAGTGTCACATATGCTGAAAGTTTTGTGAGAAACTTCTGGTGAAGTTCTGAGCAAGAGAAAAGTCTCTTTCTGCCACTCCTGGGCAAAACAAATAAAACACTAAATAAAAAAGAGAAAGACTTCTTCTAGTGGAAAAAAAAAAACACACCACAATCACTAATTTTTTTGTCTGGCAGTTCAGCAGCTTCACATCAGCACCCAGTCTTGGACTCAGCAGCCCTAAACCCTGTACAAAATGAACCCCTCCGCCCAAAAAAAGAGAAAGGCAGCCCCGTTGCCTAAACTAACCAGGCTGTTTTTCAATCCTTCAAGAAACTCAGTTACAGCCTTTGACTCAACATCCTCTTATGGCAGTGAATTCCATGCCTGGATGACATGCTGCACAGAGCTGACTGTAAAGTATTCAGAGAGCTCTGCATTAGGAGCTGCTTTGCAGAAGGAGCTCTGTGAGTGAGCACTCACTCGCCTTTGGTGCAGTGTTATATCGCCCTGGACGAGTTCAAAGACAAACAGGGATGCTCAGGAGTGTGATGAAAATGCAGACCTGACAATCAGAGGCCTGAGTTCACGGTGCTGCTCTGCCCTTGGTTTCCTGCTTGATTGCAGACAAGTCTGCATGTTCTGCTTTTATATCTGGAAAACTGGACTAAAAGTGCTTCCTTTGCCTGTCACAGCTCCTTAGGCTGCTTGTTTCTGAGAGCTGCCTTAGCACAGCAGAACCCAAATCCTCACTGGAAGCAACGCATACAGCAGTAGCAGAAGGGGAAAAAAAAAGTAGTAATAGCACCCCTTGTTTTCACATTACAGGGTGGCAGAAGGACAAATTGGGATATTGCTCTCCCCTTCCTCTTTTTGAGTAGCTTTGAACTTGGTGATTTTGCAATCCAACTAACATTACTGACAAGCAGTTGTGCTGGAAGGTAAGGATCTTTCTAAGAATAGTGGGCTATTAGCCATGGGGTCACTGAAAATCTTGTTAAACTGCACAGTCTAATGAGCAATATAACTAGGGCGTGCAAGGAGGTCATATGTTACACTTTACAGTGCTAAGTAGGTGAATTAAATGTTGAGGAGTGGAAGGAGAATCCAACTTGCTGCCAAATTTGAAATCAGGCTGCTATTTCCTACCTCGTGTATGACAGAAAACGGCCAACAGCAGTTGAGTAGGTGACCTCCCCAAAGAGTCAAACTGAGAAGTCCTTTTCAGGAACGAGATTTTTCATAAGGAAACTGCAAATTGTACAAAAAAAAAAAAGGAAAGAAAAAGAAGCCCATCATTGTGTGGTGATACAACACGAATGGCGTTATCCCTCACCAGTAACAGCTCGCTGTGAGACACTCTTCCACTTGAGCTCCCCCATGGAAAGTGCAGCCAGCCTGGAGTGGTAGTGTGGATGAGCACAAGCAGATGGGGAGGCAGCAGGCGCTCTGAGTTGCACAGGTTGAGGAGCTCCACTGCCATCTTTGGTGGCTGCTGAGGTAACTTTTCACGGGCAACCAGAAGTGATAGACTCCTTGTGTCAGAGGTAGGTCAGCACAGCAAAAGTAGAGCTCTTTCTGTGAGTTCAGAGTCTTGCCTCACAAAAAAAGCTGCAGTTTCCCATGTTTCAGTCTGGCAAATGAAAGATTTCCCTCAATGAGAAATTGTGGGGTTTTTTTAAGAGAGAAAGAATCGAGTTGATTGAAAGTCCTTGTGTATCGTAAGGATTACAGGAAAAAAATTGTATTGAATGACTGTAAATCTGAAACTGGATTAAAAAATAACCACTGGCTTTGCATGGTGAAATGGGCTTTAAACACTGTCACCGGGGAACCTGGAAACTCCTGGTTGAAATCAAAAGAGGCAGAAGCAGAGAGAGTTTCCCTGCATGACATCATTCCTGTAGGTGTCAGGAGTGACACTCTCAGTTTCCTCACCATGAAGAGACAGTTCATGTGACAGAAACCATTGCAAAATCCAAAGTGGCAAAGGATGTTCTGATTGTTTGAACACTGTGGAACTTCATAGGCATTGTAATCCCAACTCATCTAAGCCTGGAAAACAACCTAGTAACATTATTGCTCCATTTAGAGCTGCCTAAACCCACAAATGAGTTGTGCAGGTGTCACCACAGACATAATTTAATGGCCTTGGAGGCAGAGGATGAAGTGAGATGTTTTGGCCTAAATTTGCCTTGAAGAATCTCTGTCAGTTGTTATGGTTGATGACATGGAAAGAGTCAACAGATAGAACCGAAGGTGAGCTTATGCTGTTGACAGTTGGATTTTATTCCTTGGGGGTGCAAAGGATCTTTTAAAAGGTTTTAATCTTTTAACACTGATTTATGAGCCTTGCTACTATCTTTCAGTATTATTAGGCATTGTTATGACTGGGATAATCAAATCTCATGCTTCAAAGCATACAGATAGCTCATGGGAGATGACAATGACTTTTGTTCCCTCTTGTCATATCATTTCATTGTTTATCCTGCTGCTTTTTAGAGCCTTAAATATGGGCCCTCTGTCATGGAAAGAGGCAAGGAGTAGACCCAATCCTGTTGCTATCCAGAGGGAAGAGGAGAGCTTGGGAGTCATCCCTGTGAAGAAGGAAGCAGAAACTGCCCTCACTCATGGGACTGTTTTGCTACAGGACCAACCTGGAGAGAAAAGATGCCACCGCCTTACTGCTTCACATCCCACATCAGTGGGGCTGGAAGGGGGCAAGGTGGGGCAGTGGAAGGATGGCTGGGTAGGGGAGTACAGAAATTGTGCTGTATAGGACAGGGTCGAGCCTTCTTATGTCTTCCTCATCTGTAATCAGATTAAATGGAAGGCAAACTGCTAATCCACCCCGCGATGCCCAAGATACACTACAGAAAACACCAAACTCTTGTGGACCTGTACCCATAGGAGGAACACAACCGTACATGAAATGTAATTAGAAATGCTTAGCAACAGTATTTTCATGGGTTTAATAGCACTTCCTTCTTCCCTGACCTCTATTCCCGGTCCTGGATTGCCTTTCCCAGAGGTTTGCCCAGCTGGCTGCTTGCTGTTGAGAACCCCCCGCTCAAGCAGGCTGGTCTGGCCTCTGCAAGGAAGAGTTGGGTTTTCTAAGAAAACAAAGAATGGTTTGGGAAATCAAGGAATTTCAGGATACTCACAGTGCTCAAATAACATACTATAGCCATAACCACAGCTACCACACTGAACCAGAGCCAGTTTTAGCCCTGGCTGGGCTGCAAGGTCACCTGCAGTAGAGCTCCAGGAACACTCATTAGCAGCAGCGTTAGACTGCAGTAATGGGACTTACAATTTACAGCAGTGACTTAGAGTTGAGGCTATTTTGAGCCCAGTTGCAAGCTCTTGGTAGGTTGCCATGAAATATGGCACATTATCACTTGGTCTTATGACAAAGGACACTCAGAAAGACCATCCATTGCTAAGCAAGCCATGTGGTAAGTGTAGTGCACCACTAGGACATCTTCAGTCTGAGGGAGCAGAGGAAAAAGTCCCCATAGCCCCTGTTTAGCCTTCCAATGAAAAGTGTTGCCTCATAGTTTAGGGAGGCTGAAGCCTACTTCAAAAGGCTGATTACAAACCTGAAATTCAGGCTGCCAAAACATGAAAGTCTGTTGGCACTCTCAGTGTTACTGAGAGAAAACTTTATAAAGGAGAGATGTCAAGAGACCTA